TGTCCAATTAATTTCTTTCTATTTTTAGTAGAGACGGGGTCTCGCTCTTGCTCAGGCTGGTTTCGAACTCCTGAGCTCAAACAATCCGCCCGCCTTGGGCCTCCCAGAGAGCTAGGATTACAGGCGTGAGCCACTGCGCCCGGCCGGGAATATGCTTTTTATTAATATTTTTTTACTGTGGTAAAATGTACCAGAATTTATCATTTTAACCATTTTTAAGTGTACAATTTAATGGTATTAAAAACATTTACAGTGCTATGCAACCATTACCACTTTGTTTTCCAGAACTTTTCCATCAGCCCAAACAGAAATTCTGTTGTCATTAAACAGTAACTCTCCCCTTCCCCTGGCATTCTTCTATCTGTATGAATTTTCCTGGGAATTTACTTGTTTAAATCACTGTACTGGTCTGTGTTTTGTACATGGTAGTAAGAAACAGTTCTCAGTGCTCTTGGATCTTGTCTAATTTGTTGGACATTCTGGTAAAAACCTTTTTTTGATTAAAGGTAGGCAAGGGGTGAGAGAGGGAGCAGAGAATTGCTTTGAGGTTTGCTGAAAATATGCCACTGTAGCTGATTGGTTCCCTTGGTATTGCTGATAGGCTTTCTCTTTTTTCCTAGGACTTGGATGTTGTGGGTGACGGGATGCAGTGCCCTCCTTCGCCCTTGCTTTTTGATCCTTCATTAACCCTTGAAGATCATTCAGTGAAAGAAATTGCTGAAAGCCCTGTGGATATCTTGGCAAGTGAAGAACAATCCCACCTAGCCTTTCCTCATGTGACCCAGCCAGGCAGAGGGTTCCCTGCAGGGTAGCATGTACTCCAGGGAGTAGGGGTATCATCACAAGTAGAGTATAAAGACTGGCCCAGATGGCGCTTGCTCAGTGAATATACCATATAAGGAGGGTACTGTTAAAAAATGCCCTTCTCTGCTCCTGGATGCCCTTGTTGCTCCAATTCTCCAGATGGGCCCTTAGAATACCCAATGGCCCCTGATCCTCATATCCCAGAGTAAGACATTTTTCCTTTTCTTTGCCTTCCCTTCCCTTTTTCTTTTTTGTTCTTTTAAAATTTATTTCCATTTTTAAAATTTTATTTTATTTTATTTGACTGGGTCTCACTTTGTTGCCCAGGCTGGGAGTGCAGTTATGCCATCATAGCTCACTGCAGTCTTGAACTCCTGGGCTCAAGCGATCCTCCCACCTCAGCCTCTTGAGTAGCTAGGACTGCAGGAATGTACCATCTGCCTGGCTGTTTCTAAAAAATTTTGGGGGCTGGGTGTGTGGCTCACACCTGTAATCCTAGCACTCTGGGAGGCCAAGGCAGAAGGATCGCTTGAGCTCCTGGAGTTTGAGCTATCATGACACCACTGTACTCTAGCCCGGGTGACAGAGTAAGACTCTGTCTCAAAAAAATAATATTAAATTTTTTTCTTTTTTTGTAGAGGTGGAGTCTTGCCCAGTCTGGTCTTGAACTCCTGGGTCCAAATGATCCTCCTGCCTCAGCCTTAGCCTTCCAAAGAGCTGGGATTATGGGTGTGAGCCACCACGCCTGGCCAATTTATTTAAATAAAAGATTGGGACAGGGTATCTTCAACTATACCTCTTTTTAAATTTTTAAAAATTTTTTTTGGGGCGATTGAGTCTTCCCCTGTTGCCTGGGCTAGAGTGTAGTCGTGGTTATCATAGCTCACTGCATAGCTGAACTCCTGGGCTCAAGGATCCTTCCACCTTGGCTTCCGGAGTAGCTGGGATCATAGTTGGGCACCACCACACCTGGCTGATTTTTAAATTTTTTTTAGAGATGGAGTTTTGCTATATTGCCCAGGCTGATCTCGAACTCCTGGGCTCAAGCAATCCCCCCACCCCCTCCCTTGGCCTCCCAGAGTGCTGGAATTACAGGTGTGAGTCACCGTGTCTGGCCAGTAAATTGTACCTTTTAACACATTGACTGACACACTAGAAAAAAAAATTTTTCCTTGGGGCCATGGTGTTTTATTACAAGAATAGAATAAAAACTTCGAAAGCAAAATGATTCTAATTTATTGAAAAATTTATTTTATATTGTTTTCCATGCATGAGTTATATGCAACTTGAAAAATAGTTCTCTTGGCTCCCAAGGTAAAGAGAGATGTGTGAATTACATATACCTCATGAGGCCCTGGGCTCAAAATAGCGTGAGTTAAATACAACTCACGTGGCAGTTAATGTGTTAGGGGAGAATTCAGCACTGGGATTATTCTCATTGTAAAAGTAAGGACTGGTAATGTGACTTGACTTCTTTCCCTCAGCCTTTGATGGAAAACCAATGGCCCTGACTGAAGACCAGCAGTTATACTATAACTGTTGGTTTCAAACAGAGGCCTAAAGGACTGTCTTCCTGTGGTCTGTTGGCTGTTCTGGAATCTTAGCAGAGAACGGCTATTTCATTTGGAAGAAACAAACCACAGCTCTCCCTCGCATTGGAAGAGTCTCAGGAATGCTACATGTAATGACTTCTGACTCTAAGAGACAGGGATAGTTAAGTTTGGGGAAGCGTATCTGCCCAGAATTATTTTATTTTTGTTGTCTTGTTCTTGTTGTTACTGTAAATGGGTATTGATAAGTCAGATACATACTACTTCAGACCACAATGAATGAAATTCTAACCAAAGTGTCTATTTCTTTTAACAGGGCCAGATGCAGATGGCTGGAGATGGGTGCAGATCCCAGGGATCTCGAAATTCTGAGAAAGCCTCTGCACCATTGCCTCAAAGTGGATTGGCTACTGCAAATGGGAAGCCAGAACCCCCTTCTATCAGTTGATAGTGTGTTTTGGGAACCATTTGACTTTGGTGGATTTAAATTTCTCATTCTTCAAACAAGTGTTTCTCTGATCATCTCTCACTGAAGAGGGGCAACGCAGACCACCTTGTTTTTCTTCTGGATTGAGTGCTCTAGTTAAACATAAAACTAAATTTTGAGAGAATGGACCAATAGTTTTCAAAAGTCATGGGTTTCTTCCCACTCTGAGCAAGAAAGAGAGAGTGATAATTTTTGTCAAAGCTTCTGGGATTGAGTATTTGGGACTATGCCTAAGGGGAAAGAGACATCTTTGTAATGGGATTTCCTAAGTCATGGATAGGAATCCACAGGTGGCCAGGTGGGAGCTGTCTCTGAGTAGTGTGCCCTTGAGATATTGATGGCCCTAATGTCTGGTTATCTAAAGGGCTACATTTTAGCCTGCCGTCACCTTCACTTAATTGGGTAGTCTGAACCCCTTTCCCCAGTAAACTCTGACTTTTATCCTCTGAGAAAATAGCCCACAGGACTGGGCCCTTCTTAATTACCCATCTTGCTTCTAACCTGTGTAAATTTCTGTGGTGGCTGTCTTATGTAAGATACAGTAAACATTTATTGTATATAGTTTCTATTAAATGTTAAAGGAAATGTTATGAAAATGTAAAACAGTCATCTGAATTGGATGCATATTTTGTTTGTATTTGAGAGTGTCGTCATTTCTGGGTTTTAGAGACCTGTCTCTGATGGGAAAGAGAAAATGGGACACACAATACTTCCATCCCAGGAAGCAAATAAATGTTCAGTAGTTGACTTTGGTTTTGGTTTGGAAGATAAGGTAAAAACCTGGAAGAAGTAAATGAGAAGGGGCAGTACTTGTCAAGCCAACTAGTTTTAAATATCTTCCTTCTTTTCACCCTCTACTCTGTGTCCCTTACTCCTGCTCCAATTTATTTCTCACAATTAATGCCATCTCAGGGCCGGGCGCGGTGGCTCACGCCTGTAATTCTAGCACTCTGGGAGGCCAAGGTGGGAGAATCTTTTGAGCTCAGGAGTTCGAGACCAGCCTGAGCAAGAGCGAGACCCTGTCTCTACTAAAAATAGAAATTAGCTGGACAACTAAAAATATATAGAAAAAAATAGCCAGGCATGGTGGTGCATCCCTGTAGTCCCAGCTACTCGGGAGGCTGAGGCAGGAGGATTGCTTGAGCCCAGGAGTTTGAGGTTGCTGTGAGCTAGGCTGACGCCATGGCACTCT